CCCCCCCCCCCCTTCTCCCCCTCTCTGTTTACTGCGATTTAAATAGATTTAATAAATAAACCATTAGAATTTTTATCCTGTGGGAGTAAAACAAATAGATGAAATATAAAATATTTAGTATATTTGTGTTAGACTGAGTTTCACTCATATGTTACAAGAAAAAAATTGTAGAAAAAAATGTTTTTGATTAATTCAGGGTGAACGTAAATATAAATGCAGAAAACGCCACAATAAATGTAGCCCTAAGGCACTGAATAAAACGTCCCTCCAACTAAAACGTTGCTGCAATGGATAAATATGAGTTTCAAACATAAGAAAAAATTGCGACGGATAGATTTATAAATATATTTATGTATAAAACTTCAATATCTTGTGCAAACAAAATCGTTACATGTATAGTTTTTTAGATATTTCCTAGTAAATCAGAAAAAAATATTTATTATTATGTTGTCCTCATGACATAAGTTCTTTGGTAATTTCTATGTAGATCCAGTTTTGGAAAAGAAAATAAGAAAAACAAAATTCTGTCTTGTATTTTTTCTACATTGATTGGTATGGATTGGAAAAATTTAAATATTTCGAATTGCTGATCTTATGAGGAGTAGATGAAAAAAATATCTTTTTTCTCAATTTCTTTGATTCAGTGAAATGGAAACCAACAGAAATGTATAGTGGGTTATTAGCTTGATGTTTACATAAGCTGGTATCGTGCTAAAATATCCTGGACTTTTATGAAGTCAAAAATTCAGCATTAATTGGTAACTCAAGGCATAAATTTTTATCAATTTTCTTCTTCTTTTCCTTCAAAACTGTAAAATGGGGTTTCAAAAACACAATATAAACAAAAATAGATTCAAGAAGTTTTTTTTCTAATTTGTGGGCTTCCTCAAAATTTTCTTAATTTAGATCCAATGCTAATTTAGCCGTAAAATCCAATGGGCCCGATGAAATATTTTGATAAAAACAGATTTGTATTTCCATGCGTTTCATTCAACTTATAAAATAAGTTTCAGAGGTGGTCGTAACAACGAGGTCACCCAGTTACGAGGAATGGTATTTTATCAAAATCTATGAATCACGGTTAAAAATTTTGTGAAACATTAAACTATCAAATAAATGAGAAAAGGAAGACGACTTCTTCTTGCATCGGATCTGAGTACAACGTTACATGAGCTAAATTTAAATTGAAAAAGCAGAAATTTACAATTTGTACAAAACACACACAGGTCTCATACCAGTCCTCAAATGATTATCAATTAAATTTCGATTTTCTACCCATCCTCTGAGGGGGGGAGACCAGAGTTCCTCAACGAGTAATCACTGCCACCGAAATGTGTTTTGCGGCAAGCGCGCTCCTCAATTGGTAGTCACTGTAAAATTTTTTTTTCTGAGATTTTAATTTAATGCACTTTTAACACAATTTTCGACATCTATCGAGGTTTTATGGCATCTGTATTAACTTAAACTAAATTTTCAAATTGTTTTCAGGTTTGTTTGGTCAACAAAAACTGAGAATCAAGGCACAGTTCATTTTAGCCGAATCTTAGGTATCCAATTTGCCAATTTAATGACTGCATTTCATGATTGGCGTTAAGAAACTAAAAGGTCGAGCTGCCTGTTTACTAAAACTTATCTCATCCCACGCAAAGTAATATCCATCTCCATTTAAATGATATTTTAAAAAAACCTTTTCAGTGTTTAGATTTTTGTATTCGCCTACTCGAGTTCAACATCTACAACAAAACTAATTATATGCATAGAAAGAACATAAAATTTTGAAAAATTAGTCTCATCACACCAACTACTGAAAATGAAGTATTTAGTCCACTAATAATGGGTTAAAGTTTCCTCTCTATATAAGGAGTTTAAAACAACATTCAGAGGAAAATGCCGCAAACATTCTTAAAGCGAAACTTGAAACTAAAAAAACGTAATATATTTCTAGCGCTTAGTGTGGCATATTTATAGATTTATTTTCGAAACTAAGGAGCAATAAAGAAAGCTTTAGCAATATTGTACACCATAGGGCCATTAACAGAGGTCAATATGGTCTTATTTCTAAGAAATAACCGATTTAATGTTACGCTTATTTTGGCTGATTACCAATTGAGGTGGTGGAGATTACCAATTGAGTAGCGCGCTTGCCACAAAACACATTTGGGTGGCGGTGATTACTCGTTAGGAATTCTGGACTACCCCCCTCATCCTCTAATATTTGTGCAAATTTCAAATAATTTATTAAAATTTAATGTATTAACAGTGTCGACTGTCAAGGAATATATACTACAGTGAAACCCAGTATATGGATTCAAAGCAAGAGTTTATATATTATATTATTTTCAACACATTTAAGAACAAATTCCACTGAAAAACAAGTTTAATATATCAATTGTTGTCATACATATTTTAGGGCTAATTTAATTTACCTTGAAATAAAAGTTGAGGTATTCTCGTTTTCTGTTTATTTTCACTGGATTTTTGAAAATCGCACTTTAAAGGCCCTAAATGTACCATTTAAAAAAGTAGTTTTGCCCGGAAGAGTCAAATGTAGTGGCTCATAGCTTCCGGAAGAGAAAAAAAGCTAATTTGTGGCACGGAAGAGGAAATAGTGGTGGCTCATGGCCGCCTGCCTTCCCCCGCTCGCTAGAGTGCAGTACATTAATATTTAAGAATAAATCGTCAAAATATTCTTTGCCAGCTTCAAACAACTTAATTTCATATCTAGCCTGGAGCTTAAAGCAAGCGCGGTTTTAGGATTTAAGATGGGTGTGCCGGGGGTAAAAAATTTAACCTCCCCCCACCTTTCTAAATTCCCCCCCCCCCTACATTTTCTTATAAACAATGTAACCTCCCTCTCTTGCTAAAAAGTTCTATTTTCCTCCCTAACTCACTAAAATTACAGTTTCTTTCACCATTAAGTACATGGTACTGGTAGGCAAACTTCTTATTAATCCACATTTATTTATCTAAAACGATATAATAAAAAATATTATTGATTGAACTTTATACATTAACATTATACATATCATATAATATTATTATAATAAAGGGAGAATTATTTATCTTTTAGTAAATAATACTTTAAATCATGCTAAGTAGTTTCAATGCTTTATTTTTAGAGTTAAGAATAAAAGTATACCATAGGAAGGATGAAAGTATATAAATGAATTTTATCAAAATTTGAAAAAAAATAAATAATATCTTCCCTTTTTTCAATCTTCGATAATCTATTTTTTTTGGGCCGCTTGAAATAAAGGCATTACACTGTTGTCCGAAGTTGAGGCCTCTTTGGGTGCATCGCTATTCTTCCCAGGTTGACCAACCTTTCGGAGGCCTGTCGGTGGTCATTGATGACCTGTTCAGGGTCAAAAGTCTAGTAATGACTTTGTAAATCCTACCCCCCCCCCCTAATTTCACTCAGGGGGTGTAATGGACTGTCACCCCTCCCCTTGAAACCGCCCATGACTTAAAGTTTTCTAAAAAGTTAATGTGAAGTACAAATGATATACGATATAAATGCATTATCAGTATATCATTAGTAAAAGTAAAAACAGAAAACTCGCAGCAAGGATGCAGAACAGACCAGACAACTGCCAATGTTTGCGGACTGCCTGAGTGCAGGCCACACATTACTGCGTAAAAAGTAACAGATGCAAGGGGTGGAGTTCATTTTCTAAAATGAACAAAAATGTTTTTTTTGAAACTTTAAAATTATAAAAGTCATGTTTAAAAAAATTTTCAGAAATATAAAAAGTTTGGTTTAGCCCTGTTGAGGAGTCTGCATCCTTGAAACCGGATGATATTTCGCAAAAATTTCAGTTTATCCCCAATAGATGTCTCTGCTTTAAAATATGAATTATAAGTTTTATTTTCTGAGGTTTAACAAAACTAAAAGATAAATGTAGAATCAAGCAAACAAAACAGAGCATTCAATGTCGTAACAAAAGTTTTCCAACATTCTTTCTCTTTGATTCATTGCTTACACATTTTCTAAAAAGTTTGTTTC